TTTTTTTTTGTACAAGCTCTTTACGTCTTATCAACGTCTGTAAAAGACCCTTTTGATTTCTTGTTAATAGTGAAGCAGTTTTTTTCTCGAAGAAATGCAAAGGAAACAAGGATGGAATGCGCTTTCTTCCTCAGTGACCTTATAATTTTGAATCTCGTTATGTACGTAACACTTCATATTGCGGTAGTAGCATATATATTTCCAGAAATGACGGACTCTATGCAAGAAATTGACCGTTGCTCGATCGATTCGATGGATCCATTTGGCGCAGCGCCTTTTGATCCTCCATGCTTTGTAACAAACTCGGGTGCCTAGATTTTTCTGACTATTTTTTGCTTTGGAGACGTACTTCAAATCATGAGTTTAGCAGATGGATCTGAGCTGGTTTCTTGCGAGAAGGACGGGAGAGATTCTGTAGGCTCAGCATCTGATTTGCATGGACGCGCAGTGGTCAGCAACATTCGAATGATTTTTAATCGTAGCCGTTGACCGCAGTTTGCGTAGATATATTCAAATTAACTAAAATTAAGGATGAAGACAGCGAACAGGACGAACAGCGAATGGTAGCGCGACGACGCTTTAGCTATGAGAATATCGACGGAGTTGGTGATGATGCGAGCAGCGATAGCCGTGGCAGAACAGACCATGACAGTACTGATGAGATTAGTAAGGTCGAGTTGCATTCATTTCAGCTTATTATCATTTTATCTCGTCGTTGAATTTTAATATGTATTGCCAAAAAAAACTAATATTTTAAGAATGAAGAAGAATCATCGTATGATGAGTTTAATGGCGACTGCGAGTCATCACAGCACACTGATGTAGCTGGCGGTACAAGTGACGATGATGGCGTTGGAAGTCGACCTCTTCTTGAAGATGATGCTCTCGATGACGATGAAGAGGTTAGTGTGCAGATAACATAAGGATTTCGGCATACGCCTGCCTCTTCAGCCAAAAAAAGCTTTCTTTGTTGTGTTTTGCGTTTATGTGTGTGTATTATATTCAAGCGTTCACCTTAGGAAATTTTTGACGGAGTTTCGATTTCACAAGAACAGCAGCTGCAAGATGCCACTAAATCTTTGCTGATTGATGCAAGTTTTGACGCTACCGCCTCCAGAAAAAATACAAACCCGTTTCTTGTTTCTGCCTCGGATGAGACTCCTAAAATTTCTCCAGTATTGGTTTGTTTTGATTAAATTTACTGTAGCATCTATCTGATGGATCTGTTGTTTTTCCTAATTTGAGCTTATAGCAGCATACCAATTGAGGAGCTTACATATTTCAGCCACCTGTTGTTGCATCTACGAGCTGGGTCGAGAATGAAACTATGGCCAGTGTTTCATCTGGTTTTGATGAAGTGCAAACAACCTTCTTTCCCCCCAGGTACGGTTTATGTGTTCTCAGCCATTTTTTTT